CCTTTGAGCGCATGCCCACCCTCAAAGGGGTGGTCGTTACATACGACCATCCAGCCTCATGGCCTTAATCATGATGGATTTTTTCTTTTGAACGCATGCCCACCCTCAAAGGGGTGGTCGTTACATACGGCCATCCAGCCTCATGGCCTTAATCATGATGGATTTTTTCCTTTGAACGCATGCCCACCCTCAAAGGGGTGGTCGTTACATACGACCATCCAGCCTCATGGCCTTAATCATGATGGATTTTTTTCTTTGAACGCATGCCCACCCTCAAAGGGGTGGTCGTTACATACGACCATCCAGCCTCATGGCCTTAATCATGATGGATTTTTTCCTTTGAATGCATGCCCACCCTCAAAGGGGTGGTCGTTACATACGACCATCTAGCCTCATGGCCTTAATCATGATGGATTTTCCACATATAGCCTGTCATCAAGGTTAATCCAGGGATTCCGACTATATAAAATTAATTCGGTAAACAGTAAATTGTAGAAACTTCCATACGCCATTTCATTCATCTTTGAGCAAAGCATTTCCTTACATTGGTGGTAATGAGTAAAAAAGAGAAAATTTTAAGCATAATATTTCTTTAAGTTAGCCACATTCCATGACCTGGCTAGAGATCTCCCTTCAGCATCTTTTAAAGAGTATGTTCATCCAGCATGGACCTTCTCGACCAGGTATGGTCCTTCCCAATTTAGCTCTAATTTCCCGACGTGTTTCAGCACATCGACTCTCTTCCACACCAAGTCACCCACTTGGAATCTTCGTGTTTTCACTCTTCTATCATGCACTGCTCGTATCCTTTGTTTGTACGCCTCGACCCTGATTGTTGCCTTTCCTCGAAGTTCTTCGATCGTGTCGAGCGCTGCCATCATCAGATGTTCATTCTGTTCTCGATCATATGTGCTCGATCTTTGGGACTGAACCTCAACCTCTACCGGAAACAAAGCTTTCATGCCATATACCATACTAAACGGTGTTTCCCCAGTGGTCGACCGAGGTGTTGTTCTGTACGCCCATAGCACCGAAGTAAGCTCATCCACCCATGCTCCCGATGCTTTCTCCAACCTTGTTATCAGGCCATTCAATATAATTCTTTTGGTCACTTCGACCTGCCCGTTGGCCTGCGGGTGCGCGACTGAAGCGAAATGTTGATCAATTTTCAAGTCCTCGCACCATGCCCGAATCCGCTTGCCATTGAACTGTGTCCCATTGTCCGACACCAACACTTTAGGAACTCCGAACCTGCAACATATGTTATCATATAGAAAATGTATCACTTTCTCCTCCGTGATCTTTTCCAGGGGTTCAGCTTCCACCCACTTCGTGAAATAATCGACCGCGACGATAAAGAACTTCCTCTGTCCGGCTCCTTGGGGCATGGGCCCAACCAGGTCGATCCCTTATTGAGCGAATGGGATGGGAGAACTCATCGCTGTCATGGCTTCGGCCGGCTGGTGAATAAGTGGGCCGTGTTTCTGGCATTGCACACACTTCTGCACCATCTCCTTGGCATCTTCTCTCATTGTTGGCCAGAAATATCCTGCTCTTAGAGCCTTTCCTACCAAGGAACCCGCCTTGCTGTGGTCACTGCAGCAGCCCTCATGAATTTCCTTCAACACATATCGCCCCTCTTCTCCGGTTACACATCGCAAGTGGGGGCCCGCGTGCGACCTTTTGTAGAGAATCCCACCATGCTCGAAAAATCTTCTTATCACTTTAACAGCTCCTCCTTTCAATTCCTTTATTATCGGCGCCCTCCAATCTTCGACTTCTTCTATCTCGACCACCTCCTTCTCGACCACACTCTTCTCCATGTGCTGCAAGGTCACACTTCTGCTTCTGCAGTCCACCAGACTTTGTGCTATTTTAGCCAACAGATCCGCTCGACCATTTTCTCCTCGAGGTATCTGGATTAATTCGAAAGAATCAAACTCTCCCTGCAGCTTCTTTATCTCCTCCACATACTTCATCATCCTTTTCTCCCGGACCTCGAACCCTTCTTGGAAGTGACCCACCACCAATTGTGAGTCTGAATGCACCTGCACTGCTCGGGCTCCGCCACTTAAGGCTAGTTTGAGTCCCTTAATGACCGCTTCGTATTTCGCTTCATTGTTTGATATCTGGTAGGCCACATTGATTGCGAACTCCAGGTTGTCGCCTTTCGGCGACATAAGTACGATGCCTAGACCACCTCCGGCCCTCGACACCGATCCATCTGCAAACACTTTCCACACCCCTTCAGACTCCTCACTCTCCTTCGTCTCTTCTTGAATAAAGTCAGCCAGCGCTTGAGCCTTAATCGCCCTCCTTGGCTCGTAGATAATTGTGTATTCACTCAGCTCGACCACCCATTTGACTAATCGCCCCGACACGGAGGGTCGACCCAGTGTTTCTCCCAATGGCATGTTCGTTCGGACCTTCACCCTATGTCCCAAGAAATATGGTCTCAGCTTCCTTACAGTGACCACCACTGCTAAAGCCCCTTTTTCAATCTCTGAGTACCTCCTCTCCGCCCCTTGCATCACCTTACTCACGTAATAGATCGGAAATTGGGTTGTCCCTTCCTCCCGCAATAACACAGAGCTCACTGCCGTCTCACCGATGGATACATATAACACCAAGTCCTCCCCTTGTGCCGGTTTTGCCAATAGTGAAAGATCGACCAACATTCTCTTCAACTCCTCGAATGCTTTCTGTGCTTCTTCTGTCCACTGAAATTTCGAGCTCTTCCTGAGTGTCTTAAATAGGGGGCCGCATTTCTCAGCTACCTTAGAAATAAAGCGGCTCAGGCCTGCTATTCGACCAGTTAAGACCTGCACCTCCTTCACCTTCGTGGGGGGCTGCATCTCGATCACCGCCCTCACTTTCTCCGGGTTGACCTCGATCCCCCTCCTCCTGACTATGTAGCCCAAAAATTTTCCAGATTTGACCCCAAACGAGCACTTAGCGGGATTCAGCTTCATCCCATACTTCTGGAGGGTCATGAATGTTTCTTTTAAGTCGTTCACATGGTCAATTTCCTCTTTACACTTTACCAGCATATCATCCACATATACCTCCATGTTCCTTCCCAACTGATCCTTACAAATTTTATCCACCAACCTCTGATATGTCGCCCCCGCATTCTTTAAACCGAATGGCATCACCACATAGCAGTATGTTCCATGGCTTGTTACAAAGCTGACCCTTTTCCAATCCTCTCGAGCCAACGAGATCTGATGATAACCCTGGGATGCGTCCATCAAACTGAGTAGCTCACACCCGGCTGTGGAGTCGACCAGCTGGTCGATCCTAGGAAGCGGATATAAATCCTTCGGGCACGCTTTGTTCAGATCGCGGAAATCAATGCACATCCTCCACTTCCCTTCTGCCTTCGACACCATCACCGTGTTTGACAGCCATTCGGGGAACTGGATCTCCTTAATATGTCGTGCTCCCAACAGTTTCTCGACCTCCTGCTCGATGATCTTATCCATCTCCGCCTCGTGGTGCCTTCTCTTCTGCTTCACCGGCCTCACACTGAGATCGATGTTTAGACGATGCTCGATCACCTCCGCACTTATCTCCGTTAAATCCTCTGCCGTATAGGCAAAAATATCAGCGAATTCCCTAACCAACTGGATCAACCTCGACCGAATTGATTCTCCCAAATCCCTTCCGATCCTGAACTTTCTCCCATCACACCCTTTGATCATTTGAATCTCCCCAACTTCTTCCCCAGGTTGGATATCTATTTTCTCCTTACCTTTCTCCATTTTTTACCTGTCCTCCCTCGACCTCGATCCTCCTGGTCGATTAATCTCCTCTCCCTTCGACTCGGCCTGCCTTTTCGCCAATTGTTTGTTATTGCTGACTGTCGTTTGGTAGCAACTTCTCGAAGTGAGCTGATCCCTGGCAATCTCCCCTACGTTTTCGCCCACCGGATATTTGATCGTCATGTGGTACGTGGATACGACCACTTGGAATGCATTCAAGCTTGTCCGTCCCATGATGATGTTGTTAGACGACTCAGCGCCTACGACCACAAATCTCACCATGCGCACCTTTCTCAACTCTCCTGATCCTAATGCCACGGGCAAACTGACCTCTCCCATCGGCATAACCTCTCCCCAATTAGAGCCGTAAAGCGTCGTGGCCACTGGTTTCAGCTCCATATTCAGCTCCCTGTTGATCTGCACAAAACAGTCGTAGAACATCACATCTACCGAACTCCCGGTATCAATGAATACCCTCTTCACGTTGAAGCCTGCGACCTCCGCGGTTATCACCAAGGCATCATTGTGCGGCAAGACCACTCCCCCAGCATCCTCTGTCTTGAAACTTATCACTGGCATGCGGGCCGTGATTCTCACCTCTCCCTCTTCCTTTTCATTGCTCGAACATGGCCTCTCCTCGCATTATTCGAGTCCCCGTCTGTCGGGCCTCCTGAAATCATATATATCGTGCCTCTCTTCACTTGGCCTCCCTCTCCTTCTCTTTCCCGCTCTCTACTTCCTTGCCTCCTTTTCCCCTCATCTCTTCCTCGACCATCTCGACCACCTCGTGCATCCTCATCATCATCCTCCTCGCTCCTCTCCACTGAGTCCTCCCGACACCTTCTCTTCACTTTCCTCCTCCCCTTATCCTGATAGACAAACTCCTTAAGATGCGCTGCTCGAATAAGGCACTCGATCTCGTCCTTGAGATGCCGACAATCCTCGGTGGTATGGCCATAGTCTTTGTGGAAGCGGCAGTATCTCTTCGACTTTGGTTGGGTTGGCCCCTCGAACCTCGACCTTGGCCACGTCATATCTTTCCCATCTATCTTTTTCTCCATGGCCATCAGAACCTCAGCTACCTTTGCGTTCAAGGGGGTGTAGCCATGGAATCTCTTCCCTCTAGAGATAGGTCGGTCCTTCCACCTGTCCTCTCGGCCTCGATCTTGCTTAGCTCGCCCCTCCCTTCTGGGCGAGACTCTCCTTTTAGGCGAAACTGCTTTCTCCTTCCTCGACTCCCCTCGACCTAGCTCTTCTAGTTTGGCGAACTCCGCCTCAGTTTCCTCGAGATTAATGTACTTCCTGCATCTCCTCAATATCTCATCATAGGTGTGAGCAGGAGTCTTAGCCAGAGAAGTCCGACACGGTCCTGCCCGCAAGCTCCTTATCAATCCTCCCGCCTTGACCTCGTCGACCGCCGATGGGATCTCCAAACAAGCCTGATTATATCGAGCGACATATTTATGCAGTGACTCCTTCTCGCCTTGTCTCATCGCCATCAATGTCAAATACGTTTTCTCCTGAGACACCACGCTCGAATATTGATTTGTCAACTTCTCCACAAAATCCTCAAAGTCCACTATCGAGCCTGGGGGGAGCTGTTGGAACCAATCGAGCGCCCCTCCCCTCAAGGTCGATAAAAAGGCCCTGCAACTAACGGGGTCAGTATATCCGTGCAACACAGCCATATTTTCAAACGTCCTCACGTGTCTCGACGGATCAGAAGTCCCATCGAACACCAAGTTGGTATCCTTGTCATTATTTGGCAAGGGTGCCGCTAGTATGTCCGCCGAGAATGGGTGTCCTCGAGCACGCCTCTCTGCTCGACCATCCACCTTAGCCTGCAGTTGGCGCAGCTGCTCCGCCATCCTCTCCATCTCCCGGTCATGCATGGGCCCGCCTCCACCATAGCTGGACTCATCCTCCTCCGCGTTTTGGAGTGACCCTGCCATAGTGTTCGGCGTTGCTGTAGCCCGGGAGAGACTGTCCGTGACTTGCCGAGCTGCTTGCGCGGCCGCCTCCGCCACCATTTGCTGCATCTCCTGCCTGGTCATTACCACCTGCTGGTCGGGGGCATGAACCACTACCCACGATGGTGCTCCTCCTTGGGCCACCGCTCTTTCTGGTTGCACCCCCGTTCCTCCCGGTTGCACCACCACCGCTCCCAGTTGCACTCCCCCTCCTCCTCGTTGCGCTGCTATTGAGCTGTGTGGTGGTGGTGGTGGCATCGCCGCCGCGTCCGCTGCGCGGGCCTCATGAGCACGGTTGGGACCAGCGTTTCTTCCGGGAATTGCCGTTGCCACTCCCACACCTTGGAGCACAGGTACGGGAGTGACTGGCGTCTGTGATGGGCCAGAAAAAACCCGGGGGAGGACCCTGTCCTAAAGGCCTGGTCGTCGTCCAGGCATCATCGAACGTTGACTGTAAGTTTTTGGGAATTCCGTCCGCCATAGCTGAGCTTCAAACACAACTTTTTGAATGAAGTCCCACAGACGGCGCCAAATGATAACACAAAACTTCTCGACCGGCTGGAAATCGAATAATCGCCTTCCTTCTCGCCAGTTTGAACGTCGTGTACCTACAAAGAACTCTCACACCAGAGGGGTTTTCCGGTGAAGAGCCTCCGAAGCTTAAGTTAGTGTATGCTCAATCAATTCTCAAGAGTAAGTAATAGAATGATCGTGTTGAAGAAGAAAGGCTCACCCCCTTTATAAAGGGGTGAGATACCTGACCTAGGGCTGCCCGGATTTGATGAGCTGTCTGCCCTAACTGCCCGTCCGTACACACCAAACGCGTGTGTCAGAGGTAGCCGTCGCCACTATCGCCTGCACCAATCCTCTTTGGACGCGTGTCCTCCTGCACATGGGGTAGGCTGTCAGAGGTGGTTATCGCTATTTCACCACTGCCTTCTCGACACGTGTCCCCCAGCACATGGGGCAAATATTCTCCTGGAATTCTGTCAGAGGCTTCTTTCACGCGCCTATGATTAGGCCGAACAGCGTGGTGTTAAGCTCTCGAAGTAGTCGACCTGCTGAGGTCGAATGGGTTGCTCGATTGTGTATCTGGTCGAAGGATAATTTGGTCGACAGCCTTGTCTGGTCGACTGGTTGACTGTCCGATTCCTTTGGCTTCCTCATAATACGACCTCCTCGACCGGTCGACAGACCAGTTCAACCTTGTGGGTATAATATCCTATATCATCTCAACCCATTTTAGGGAAAACGAGTGTTCTCTCGAAACTATATTCAAGGAATGAATAATATCTTAGCTCAACTACCAATTCCATGTATATCGTGAGTCTACCCATAAGTACGTTAGCGTTGGACTAGGTCTAAGTAAATCACCGTATACATGAATTGCGTATTGACCTCAACTCAAAGGACTAATACACCTTTCCACACACCGACACTCCCATAGACAGATAAACAAATGGTTTATTAGTAGGGTTTGCCAATACTCTCCAAAGTATCCATGTATCCAACACGAATAACAATTATTCACAGTAATGACATACTATATTTTCCAAGAATATAATGCAGACCACATATCAATCTATTACATATCATTAATATCCCTTTCTTAATGATCATTGAGTGAGGCGATTTGAGAGTTATACTTTATCAATTAACATCTCACTATGTTAATGACAATATTAACTAAAGTGAGCAATTAATTAATAAATTGCAATACTATAATTATAATCCAATATAATAATTAATGTGATCATGTATATATATGTCCTTAAAATGATTGTCTCTAGGACACATATACCAATAATCTCCCACTTGAACTAGAGGCAATCACCAATGTATCTAATAACCATTTTCTCAAAAGGACTATTGTGCTCAACTATGCACAACGGTCTGGTGAACGAATCATTCAAGTAATGTTCAGCTTGAACACATTCTAACTTATTTCTCCTCTATCAATTATCTCTAAATAAATGATAGTGCCTTTGTACATGTTTATTTTGTTGTTGGATCTTGGTTCATTTGCCTATGCAATTGCACCGATTCTATCATAATGTGTAGATATTAGACGAATGACACTTGGAACTACCCCTAGTTCATTTAAGAACTCATGTATCCTAAAAACCTCCATTAGTTTTTTATGAAATAATGTACTTGCTTTTGCGGTTGAATTCACAGTGGTTTATTACTTGCTATTCCAACTCACTGCCTCATCATTGAAATGAATATAAGACTATTAAATTGTTAATTCCACCATAGAATTAAATATATTCTTTAGTCCATCTTATGTACCAAAGAATAGTCTTAGCAGTCTTCCAATATTGCTCCCCATGATTTTATTGGAATCTATAAGTGATACTAAGTGCATAAGCCATATGGACCTCGTATATGTCATATAATGCATGATAAACTCCATCGTATAAGCATATGTGATCTTCTTCATACACCCAAGTTTGGCATCAACTGAAAGACAATCTTTCTTTTTCAACTTGATGTCATATCCATTGAAATATTTATTGTTTGTTAGAATTTTTCATGGAGAAGCACTTCAGTACCTTGACTATACACATAGACCCTGAAACTCTAACACTCTATTAAATCTATCTGGATAGATCAGAATTTCAAGAATATAGCAGTTTTATCCAATTCCTTCACAATGAAGGTACTTGATAATCAATCTTTCATGGACTGCAGGTGAGGAACATCATTTCATTATCAACATGTCGCATACAAATATGATAAGAATAATATTATCTTCATTGCGTTTACTATAAACGCATATCCTTCTTACTTCTCACAAAGCCAAAAAATTAGGTAACTTTGTAGAAACAAACATTTCAACTCTCAAAGGTTTGCTTAAGTCCACTATTGGAACTTTGTAACTCGCATACTAATTTTGAATTTGACTTGGATATAAAACCTTTAGGTTGTATCATATATATATATATATATATATATATATATATATATATCCTCCAATTTCCTATCAAGGAAAGTGACTTTAACATCCATCTATCAAATATCATAGTCATAGTATGCAACTTTTGCAAGTAAAATCCAAGATAGACTTAATTTCATGAACAAGTGAAAACGGTTTTACGTTGGCTGTAACCTTTAGACACCAACCTAGCCTTATAGGTTTGTACTTTGTCATTTGCATAAAAACTTGGAAACCCATTTGCATTCAATAGGTCTAACCCTAGTTGGCAAATCAACAAAGTTCTAAACTTGATTTGTGTGCACGAGTCAATTTTATATGTTTATGGCATAAAGCCACCTCCCTGAGTCCATTTCTCGCATAACTCAGTGTAGGTCCTAATTAAGATAACCCTCATTAGGAATCTCTACATCATCGTGTTTCTCTAGGAAGAGAGACAGTCTAATTTTTTCACGACTAGTTCGAGTCGACCTACGGAGTTCAGTATTTTGTGTTTGTGGTTGAACATTTTTATCGTGAATAGGTTCTTGTATGTTGATATGTTCAATGATTGAAGGGTTCTCAAAAATAACGTTTACATGCGTTTGTTGAGACTGAGCGACATCCAAGCCATTATGTATTGGTTGTATATTAATGTGCTACACTTCTGCAGTTTCACTCATAATACTCCCACTAGCTAGTACTCCCACGGCTGCGGGACCGACAGTGCACTCATCTTTTCTGGTGGGACACTGACAACCGAGATGACGGCGAGTGGAAACCAGAGGTGGCGACAACTAGGTTTTGTAGGGACGACGACGACGAAGGTGTTCTGCGACAGCGAGCGACTCGATGACTGATTTGTGCGACGTCATAGGGGGGGCTGAGGAGAGGGTCGAGATAGTGTGTGTACATGTGTTAGTCTGTATGTGTATGAGAGAGAGAGAGAGAGAGAGAGAGAGAGAGAGAGAGAGAGAGAGAGAGAGAGAGAGAGAGAGAGAGAGAGAGAGAGAATTACTGAAAGTAGATGTATGGTGGTCAAAGGAACTGATGTGCAATTTTATGAATTGCACGTTATGATTTTTGGTGTAGGGTGAGAATGCTTTTTAGAATAGACGTTTCAAAGGGACTGATGTGAAATTTTATGAATTCAATTTGATTACAATAAAGGTTAAGGGTTAATTTTGTAATTAACAAAAAAATATTATAATAATCGCCTAGGGATGGAGGTAGGCCCATTGGGATTGGTGCACAGACTAAATTATAAATAATTCAAATAAGCTTGACCCGTCTGCTTGAGTCATTAGTGACTGCTGGACTTTCCGCATAATCATTTATTATTGACTTCTCCGTAATAAATACACTGCATAGTACCGTGTTTGTAAATACACGATGTACGTTAGGATTTAAAAAATTATAAAAATATCAATGCAAAACATAATTTAAAATATTGTTTATCGGTCTATTAGTCGAACCAATTTATGGAAATGCCAAAAGCAAAATAAACGAGGGAACTTTTGGAAAAAGCGACTTGACCAAACTTTTGTCCCAAACCAAACTAAAACCAATCAGAAATATTGGGTTTATTCAGCTGGCTAAATGATTTAACCAAAAAATAACCGAATATTATTATTATGTATATTGTAAAAATATTTTCAAAATTTCAATATTTTTATTTAATAATTTTATATTATGGAAAATAAATAATACATGCATATAAGAAAATATAAAAAGAAAATAAGACTATTTATATAGTTCAATTGGTTTGGCTATTTCCATTATTTTAGAAATTAAAGCCGAAATCTTACTGAGATAAACAAAATTTTAAATTAAAAGTTAGTAACCTAATTTACATATAAAAAATCAAACTAAAAAAATTAGTTCGGTAGATTTTTTTTTTTTT